CGGGCTGCCACACGGCGATCCCTCGTGATACGTATGTGCTACTTCTATTCCACAGTGCATCCTTGAGCTACTCCGACCTGTAGGGCACTCCGTGGGTGTATCCACCCCCTAGACACGCACAATGACGCTCACGCATCTCAGGATCTGCCTACGCCTGGCTCGCACAGTGCGTGCTCTGCACAAGCTCCGTCCGTACTTACATTAACCGAAATGCGCCCCAGATTTTCGCTCGACCTGATCGTCTTCGGGCTGACCGTGTACTGCGCGTATCGCGACCGATCCGCGATTCGTTATGTGCCAGGATCACTCGTTGAGCGTATGGCGCGTGATGGTATGCGGGTTCACCTTTCCAACGTGCGATATTGACGCAAGATCTTTAGGCGCCATGTACTTCGGGTCCGTGATTCCTTTGGACAACTGTTCAAAGTCTGATTGAGGCCACGCAGGATAATCGTGCTCGCCAACCTCGCGAATGTTTTAACGCTCTTCGTGGGTGCTCCGTTGATGGACCTGCGCCAGACTAACGATATCGGCCACGCAGCTCGGAGACGTGCGCCCTCCGCAGAATTCCATCCTCTACTCACCGATCCCACCCCCAGATAATCATCGCCGGGATTCTGTCCTGGTGGACCACATCGTACGTCGCTCAATTCCTCCTCCGTCCGGCTCTATATCTCCATCACGCAGCCTCTCAGTGACGCTCATCTGCCGACTCATGCTCAACCTGCAGCGCGCGGGCGTGGGCGCACAGCGGGAGAACTTCGAATCGACGGAGCTCACAGGTATCCACTTCGTCGAGCCGAACGCGCCCGCCCAGCGCGCGCAGGACGACGGCCTGGACTCGTTGGCGGACGTCTGAGGGCGTGTTCGATTTAACTAGGTACGTTTTGCTTCTTCTGCCCTTGGTACGCGATGCTGATGGAGGAGCTTTAGAGCAACTGATCCATAGAATTGTAGAGCGGAGGAAAGTAGTAATGTGTAAAAATCTTTTTGTACATAACACTCATCGATCCGAGGAGGGCATGTGTCGCCGACGGGCACGATAAGAGGGGTGTACTCAAAAATTAAAAGAAGAAAGACAGATCCAACTTCCAACTAAATTTTTCCTTTTAAATCCACTACAAACAAAAGAACTCCTTCCCATTAAAAATGCTTTCCATCGGTACCGGCAGTAAGCGCGCTCAGGATCATTCGCCCCGGAGCCGATGATGGTTGCGGGAGCGACGCCGCCCTCCACCCAGTCCACAAGCGCGAGTGGGTGCGAAGACGCGGATAGGATACTCTAGAGTGTGCCCTGAAGATGTGAAGGCAGTCCGAGAAAAATTGGAGTCGCAGCAAGGTGCGATCAGAGTCGTTATCGCTAACGGGGCAACGATAGTACTAGGATAATTATCGCCAGCTCCCAAGATCCGAGGACCATTTGAGCTCTGAGTCCTGGAGTAACGTGTGAGGTGAGCCACTCAGTTACGTTGGCTGGTTACATACACTCGCGACTCACGAGCAATGGTTACATTTGCATCCCAAATCTCCATCTGAATCTAATATTTTAGGTGCCTGGAAGACCCAATAACACAGATGTGTACCAGGTCCCCTTTGCCTCGGAAGGCGAACAGGATGCCCCCGTTCGACTCGGGGTCTTTGTCGGGACCTTTCCCTTTGCTGGTTGTTCTTTCCTCCAGCCTTCAATGTTGAGCTCAATTATTGCAGCCCGGCCATTCTCACGGTGCGCAGGTTCCTTTCTTCCGAGTGAACTTTTGACACCATCTCGTGCTAAAATCGTCCTGAGTCGTTATATGGTCTCAATCCTGCCCTCGGACCAACCTCGGACCCAACTCGGACCTGATGCGACGACTACGACTGCCGGCAATCACCGGCTCGCGTGGCCCTCTTGTCCTTCCCCCTAATGGCCCCACGTCGGACCTTGCGCAGCTGCTGAAACCTCGGCACCTGCTGCACCATCGCCCCGGGGAAAGAAACTCGATGCATTCCCGGCACCATCCCTCCCACTAGAGGTCTGGGAGCTCGTTCTTGTGGAACTATCTGACGAAACTCTACGGGTAGCAGCTCGTGTTTGTAGCGCCTTCAACGATCGCTGCACAGCGATCACAGCGATACATCTCCGCAGGCACGAAATTTCACCAGAATCACTCGCGGTAGGGGCCCTCCACATCTACTCGCCCCTGCTTTCCGTCCTCCAGCTCTCGCGGTGTATTGCAGACAGGAGCTAAGGAGTAAATTTACGGTTGTAATTGGGTGACTCGATTTCAACCTATCCATCGAACCTCCGATGTGTAACACCGGAGACACTGCACACGGGCCCATGGACTAGATTCTTGGATTCGACCTCGAACTCCCGGACGTGGCCGGACGGCGACGTCGGACCTGGGTCTCGGGGCAGTGCCACGAAGCGGGATCTGGGCTCGCGTCCGAGCCGCGACTCTGATCCGCACCTCGGGATGATTCGGGATGAGGCAAGGACGGGGTCGGAGCTCGGTCGGGCTGGCGTCGAGGCGCTCTTTGACTCAGCGACACCCTGCGCCGGACGAGAACGTGCGAGAATCTGCGGGAACAGGCGGACTGACAACTGCAGGATGACGCGCGGCGCCGATGAACCCTCGCCAAGACACTGATAATTCGGTACTCGGAAGATCTTCAATCTAACGAGCCACAGAACACAGGGAGGGCACACCGGTGGTGTATGGTACACACGCCGAATTCGTCATCGCCCTGGAAAAAATGAACGGTGAGACGGGGTTCAATTCCCCGCCGGTGCATAGTTCCGGATGAATTCACTGCGACTCATAAGGCCCTAGTTGGGCATCGAGAAGTGTAGAACGGGGACAGTGTACGCAGGTGGTGTATGGAACCCATACCGATTTAGCACAGATTATCTCAGCCACCCTGGACTGGCGAGAGGTGTGCTCGCCATTTTTTATTTCCCACTCCCAGGTTTATTTTCACTCAGAAAATCTTCAATCTAGCGAGCCACAGAACACAGAGAGGGCGCACCGGCGGTGTATGGAACACACGCCGAATTCATCGTCATCCCCATCCGAAAATGGACGGCGAGTTCGGGCTGATTCCACGCCGGTGCATGTAACGGGCACAAGTTTTTTTCCACTGCGCCTCATAATGACCCCCGCCGGCTCGCCCTTTCTGTTTCAAACTACGAGGGATGGTCAAGAGCCGTAGAAGGAAGTCAGGGCGTACCGGCGGTGTATGATACACACGGCGATTTGGTGCAATATCAGCGAACGGCGATCTGGGGTTCGATTCTCCGGATTCCGGTGTTTTTGTGTGGATAAACGAACACACCGACTTGAATGATATTTCGTAGTGAGGGAAGGATGCTGGCTCGTCCCCAGCGCTCCACAACGTTTCCCACAGACATTTTGTCTACCCCACATAGAAGGGTCATTTCGTTAGCGAGGAAGAAGCTTGAAGCTGCCGGGACAGGGGAAGCAAAAGGTAAAAGCTTCTATGAGGAACAATCACTGCGTTCAGCGGGTCAATAGCTAGCTAGCTGTTGCAAGCTGTGGCTATCTATAGGCCAGATATGGCTATTTATATAGCCCTAGCAACACTTCGGTTAGCTGTTGCGAGGCCATGGCCCGTTTGTGGTAGCTGTGGGTAGTTGTGGGCGTAGCCGCGGATAAGCCGCTTAGCCAGCCGACCTATCCACATGCCGCTGATCCGAGTAGCTGCCGTCTGGCCAGCCGGGGGTCTGGCTATCCATCCTCTGAACACAGTGAATCTCCGGCAGGAGGATCTCTCGTTCCAATTAGTCACTTGCCTTAAGTGCCTTATCTTAATTTGGGGATGAGGAATGTCAGGGAATGTTTCTGACTCAGGTTCGATGCGATCGACGGAACCATTGTTATGGTATGGTCAATTCTATCTCCGTTGGTACAATGTGATAATCCTCTTCCCCCATCTATACAGTACAGTAATTACAAGTGCGCGCCGCGCGCAGATTGGATGACTAGACAAAAGCATGGGACATTGGTGTTGGTGTCATAGCAAGTTTGAAAGCGGTGATCTGAGACGCGTCCATCAGCTCGGGGGACGTCTGAGGACGGGCGTCGACATACACTGTGACCAGAGCGAAGTGGTGGTGGCCGCGATGGGTGATCCGGCGACTACTCTGGAGAATATTCAGGAGTGAAGAACAGCCGAGACAAGCAAGCGTACTGCAGTTCGCGCTGTTGAAGATGCAGTTCGAACTAAGATGTAACATAACCTTAGTTCACATCGAGAGCCTTACAACGAAAGAACGTACGCGTGAGATCCGCCTCGCCAGCCGCACTGGGCGCACTGGGGCCCGTTGTGGTTCACAGGTGTGGTATCCGTGTTCTTGTGGGTGTTGGTCACAGCAGTCGGTGTCTCAGCGACGTGCTGGACCGTGGGGATCGTGGCTGAGGTGGCGTGCATTATAGCAGAGGATGGGAGGAAATATGAGAGTCGAGATGGGAGAGGGCGCTGGGTGCAGATGAAGGAAGACCGGGAGGGTAAGTTGCTGGCGAGGAGAAATCCGCTCGCCTTTTATTCACTTCGATCGCGGCACACCATCTGAATTGTTCCGTAATCGTGGCGCCACAGTCCAGTACTCCGGCTTTGACGTGCCGAACGATGGGCGATAGCCGAAATCTCAGTTCCTACACCTGAATTTTACGGAAGGGTTTGGAGGCTAGCCCAAATGGTCCTATAAAGTATTTTTCCATAATCGAACCCCGGTGCATTCGACTGCGCTCGGATGTTTTTCGTTTCCCACTGCGAAGGGCCATTTTGGCCCTGAAGATCTTCAATCTGGAGCTCCAGAGGGAAGTGCGGTGATGCACGGAACACACGCCTTTAATACAGCTGCATATTTCAGCACTGCATCGGTGAGCCGGGGTTCGATTCCCTGCCGGTGCATTCGAAACTGCGACGCAATTTTTTGTGTCGCACTCCCTTTTCGCTGAGAGGGCTTTAATCTAGCGAGCCCGGAAGAAAGGGAGGGCGCACCGGTGGTGCATGGTACACCCGCCGAATTCATAAAGTTCATCCAACAGTCCGTTACTGGACGGCGAGCCGGGGCTCGATTCCCCGCCGGTGCATTCTTTTCTGCCTGTCCGCGTTTTTCTTTGAATATCCCGCCTGGACCCGGTTCTTTTTGCCTATTAGCATTGGCTTAGAGATCCGCAGACAGGAGCTGTGTCTTCGTAATATCGGGATAAGCACCATACTGCCAGTGCGTACGGCACTTTGGGTGACCGATTTCGACCTGATTCATCGCCCCTCCGAAGTGTATACATCCAACTAGCACTGCATATAGCGCCAGAGCGAGACCTGGATCAGACTCTATAAATTCCGGTCTCGACCTCGACCTCCGGAGCGGCGACTCCGATCGGGTCTCGGGGCAGTGCCAACAAGCGGAAGAAGCGATCTAGACCCGCGTCCGAGCCGTAAGCGAGTCCGGACTCTGATCCGGACTTCGGGATGATTCGGGATGGGGCAAGGACGGGGTCGGGCTGCGTCGAGGCGGTCTTGGGCTCAGCGAAAACTTGTCCCGACCTTGCCCGGGCGGGAACATGCGGGAACGGACGAATTGACAATTGCAGGATGACGATGAGCCCTCGCCTCGACGTCCTTTTCTCGTGCTCGAGAAGGCCACTGGAGCATTGGAAGGAAAAAGCAAGACAGTGTGACCCCCCGAACTTTTTTGGGACAAATGGAAGCAATTTGGGAGCCGCATTTATCAACGCCACCAAGACGCCGTGGCATGTGCAATGGTCCTGGGGCCTGGACCCCTCAATCAATGTATCACATGTCCCGCAATTTTCGCTTCCTCGCAACGCGTTAAATTCGGCTCTGCTCCTTTGTCTCTCGCCACAACCACCACCAACCTCACAAAATCCCTTTCCTCACCCAGCCATATCCACCCCGATGGCCCGCAGAACCATGCCAGGTGCGTGCCAGCGCAGCACCCGTTAGGCCCGCGCTGACCCCCTTCCTTCCCAGCGCTCTCGATCCCCATCCCGCGCAGGGCCGATACCTTCTTCCCGCTCGCGGACGAAGATGCGAGGACGACGACTACAGCTACAACGGCGCGCGGTACACCCTCAACCTCGGCGCGGCAGCGAATGCGCCTCGCGGTGCGCCTCCGCGTGCCCCACGCCCCCGCCCCGCCCGTCGCTCAAGCACCTGCGCTTCGCCCCCGCGCCCGTTGTGCCCCGTCCTGGGAATGGCACGCCCTATCCCCGACCGACTCTGCGCCGCCTCCCCCTCCGCCTCTCGACTCGGACGCCCCCCTCGCCCTGCCCCTCGCCCTCCGACTCCGACTCGGAAGAAGAAGAAGAAGACCGCACGGACTACTCCTTCCCGCGCTGCAGCACGCGCGCACGCGGCAGTCCCGCCGCCACGCGCCGCACCCGCTGAGCGCCGTGCTCGGCCTGCGCGGCGGCTGCTGTCCGTCGCGCGCGTGCTCGGTGCGTCTGGCCGTCGCGGCTGCTGGCGGGGCGGGCGGTGGGGCGCGGAGCGAGTGTGAGCGCCTCTCACATATACATTTCGTCCCCGCTGCCGGCTTCGCACCCGCTCACGATTGACTCATAAATTACTTATGTACATATACTGTACATCCACCCCTGTACTCCACACTTAACTTGTACTCACATCCATCCTCCATCCTCCACCCGCCATCGCTGTACCTCACGGGTCCGCGCAAAATCACTCCCTGGCGTCGCTCTACGCACTCGCCTCTAAATTACAATGGACTACTAGTACTCCCTCCGACAATATCATCGTCGTTTGCACCCCCTACATTTTAATGTGTTCTCATTCCCGGCCAAAGGCGCGTGGAGTCCGAGGGACGCATTATTGCATGTGGCCGAGACCCCGCTCGTGCACTGTGGCTGCCCCGACCTCGCCTTCGACTTCCGCGCGCGCGCGTTTCCGCTGTGTTGAGAATTCCCGCGCTCAAGTACGTGCTATGCACGATCGCGGGTGTATGGCCACAGATGAGGGGAAGAAAAGGGGGGAATTGATCAAGTGGGGAGGACTTAGCCAGATCTTCGGAGTCTGGAACCACGAGGCCGCCCCAACCAGCCATCTCGATCGAAAAAAAATAGGGTGTTTCACAATTGGATTTTGGGGCTCAACTCATGCCTCAACTCCGACCCCAACTTGACCTCAACTCAAGCCAAGTTGGGGCACAAGTTGGGGCCTCAATTGTGAACCACCTGAGCAGATGTTTTCTCAGAGTTGAGGCAGAGTTGAGGTTTGGGGATCACATCTTGTGCTGCAAGCAAAGTTGGGGCTCGAGTTGGGGCAGAAGTTGGAGCAAAGTTGGATGTCAAGTCGAGGTCATACCCTCGATTTGACATCCAACTTCGATTTTCGTGCCCCAACTCCGACCCCAACTTGCCCCGAGTTGGGGTCGGAGTTGAGGCATGAGTTGGGCCCCAAAATCCAATTATGAAACACCCTAATGAGGCCGATCCGAAGGGGTTAGAGAAAAAAGTTAAATATACCTGATGTTACTTAGGCCCTGTTCGGGATCCCCAGGTAAATAGATGGAATGGACCTGTTCTCTGCCAAAAAGATCCTGTACAGGTGGCGCCACATTTAGGGCTCAATTAGGAAGTCACGATCAGTCACTCCTGTCTAGACCGGGTCCATCCGATCTTCTCGGAGTGCCAGCTCATCACGCCGTCCCCGTCGTCCCCCTTCCCCGCCATTTCCCCCCCTCTCCCGAGTCGTCGCCACGGATAGTTTTTTAGTGTATTTCTCTGGATCCATGTACACGGGACAGGAGATACATGCTAAAAATACATTCACAAGAGTCCTGCATCCAAATGATGCCAAATGGTCGAGATCAAAGAGCTCATCGTTGACAACGATGAGCAAGCGTGCTTAGGGAACCAATGGCAACGACCCCAGAGCTTTGTTATTTGGTTAATCGGACCATCGGACCTGGTCTCATGACTAGTGACATGATGTGACTACTGAGCTGGAGAAAACAAGATGGAGGCAGATGGAGGCAGATGGGGATCCCGAACAGGGCCTTATCACACGTCTCACCATAATAGACTCGTCAAATGCAGTTAAATCCTTCGGCCCCGTCGAGATCGGCAGATGTTATTCGCGCACGAAGCTCTGAGGAGAGATCCTCGCTCTCAGACAGGTTTTGCGATAGACGGTCCGCAATTTGCTGTCAAACGGTAAGACCCCAACGAAGCCACCTGAGCCAAGTTTATAGGCGAGCAAAATGAGATTAAACGGTCATAGTCCCGCTGCGGATATAGCGGTTCATGAACATGACGAGAACATAGGACAGGTCCAAGACCTCGAACGGGGTAATGCTCGGAACATAAAATGCCACGGCATATGGTGCATCTGGAATTCGGCGTGTTAGTAGAGTTGCTGCTGCTTTCATCCACACAAATAAAACCGGTGTAGTCTTGATGCGTCGAATGGTCTGGAGTGTGCAGCAGAAGAAGAGTGAAGTTCCGGATGACCTGAGAAGAAATGCTAAACTCTAAAAACATGGGAGACTTGGCAGGATGTCAGCTGGCCTCAGTGGGTATTGAGACGAAGGCAATGGTGAGGAACGGTCGAAGTCATTGAGTAAATAGGTCAGTTGAGTCTTGGAGAATTTATAGGTGTAGGTGCGGTTGACCAAATTCGGGTTGTACGCTGTACTGGCACTGGGGGCAAAAGCCAGTGCATGCGTCAAGCACATGTCGTCCGTACTTGGTCGCGTCCTCGGATCAGTGATTGACAAAGGTGTCAATTGCCATTTTGGAACCTTTGTTTTTCAGAGCAAATTCAAAGGAAAAACAAAGGTGCCAAAGAGGTGATTGACACCTTTGTCAATCACTGATCCGAGGACGCGACCAAGTGCGGACGACATGCATGTCGTTTCCGCATGCGCTGGCTTTGCCCCCGGTGTGGCATTCGGTGCTACGCAGTCGTCGTGTGCGGCGCAGTTGGAACTGCATTCATGATTTTGACTGGTAGAGTTGAGAGATCCGGATTTGTCACACTGCGGCGGGAAACGACGGACATCTGTGGGAACAGCATTCCGTCTTGGGGAAAATGGTTCAACTTTTAAGAGCGGCGGACATGGAGATTAAGAGCAGTCCAGGAGAGCGAAGCCGTTATGGGTGTGAATAAATGTGTTCAGTTGGGGGAGACACAGCATTGGAGAAGACAGTTACTCGGGACTTGTCAGAAGGAGGAAAAAAAGTTGAAAACTGCGTCTGCTGCGGTGGGGCCCCGGACATATGTGAGAGTGGTATTTTGTATTGTGTACAAAGGTTCAAGATCGGCAGACCTGAAAATTAAAAATGTCAGAGGAGAACTAACCCGTTATACGTGTGAATGGATGAGCAGAAGTGTGGCGCTGGAGGTGTACAGTCGGATCTCGGCAGGGACTCTCGAGTTAGCAGTGGTGCACCAAATATTGGAATTGTAGTGAGCATGCCAGGTTAAAAAGGTTGATTCAGGTTTCTGGGTGGAGACGCGACGACCGCCTTTGAGCTGAAAAAAGCAGAGTACAGTTGAAATTCGACATTATGGACAGGAAGTGAAGGACGAGGGAGAAAAACTGGCCGTTTGTTATGAGCGTGGACTGCGTGCCTCGTAGCAGTGTAAGCTCTGGAATGGAGAAAGCTGAGAGTGGAATGAGCACAGTTCAATCTACTGCGGGACTACTGCGGTGTTGAAAAATGAGGTGCGTGACTGCACACAGGAATGCGGAGATATTCTGGGTGGGTTTGCGGGAAATTTTCGGGTGGTAAGTGAGGAGCTGAAAGAGGCAGTGTTGAACCGGTGTTGCAAAGTGCGAAAATGCGAATGCACAGAAGTCCTGGGTAGAATAGATATAGATGAGGTTGCGGATGGAACTCGAAGGGCTGTGTTCAATAACAGGGCTTGAGCGCATGGGGTAAATATAGGTGAAGCAACCTATTAAAGGAGAAAGACAGAAGACGATACAAAGAGGTCGCAGAAAGGGGTAAGAATATAAGGAGTAAACTCCACAATATGTACAAATGAACGAGGAGCATCTCGTTAAAGAACGGTTAACTTGAATCAAACTACAGTCAAAGCTGTCTTA